TGGTTAATGGTGGTTTAGGTGGGGAGCCAGGTAGTGTAGCATCCAGCAGTGCAAGGCCATCCAGGTCATCAGGTCGTGTAGCGTCACCTTCTAGAGACATCGCGCCACCGGCAGCAGCAGGACGGGCAGCGGACCGCGCGCCGCCTGACGCAGCAGGTCGGGCAGCAAGCTCTCGGGAAGGTGACGCTCCGATCGCAGGTGACGCAGCAGCCGCTGTCGGACCGAGTGCACCGCGTGCAGAACGCGAGGCAGCAGCAGCTTCCTCACCGCCAGAAGCAGTTCCACCTATAGAAGAAGCCCCGCCAGCGCAGTCGGAGGAAGCATGGACGAGATTCGATCTCGGTCGCGCTTTGCAAAAGCTGCGCAGTCTCAACGAAGCTGTGGTCCGCAGAGCTTTAAGACAGCTACATGTGAGATTTTACCATCCTTCCACACAACGTTTGCGTGGATTGCTTGCAGCAGCAGGGGTTGAGCCGCAGGTCTTGGAAATGGTAGCGCAAATAACAGACACTTGTGGTATATGTCGTAGCTGGACGAGGCCCGGAGCAAAAGCCATAATGAGTACAAATTTGCCCACGATGTTTAATGAAGAAGTCCAGATTGACTTGTTGTTCATTTTGGACAAGGTAATTTTTCATATGGTGGACGTTTGTACGCGTTTTTGTGTGGCAACCGTGATTCCAAACAAACTTACTGACACGCTGCTGGAGTGCATCCAAAAGCATTGGTTGAGCCTGTTTGGTCCACCAATGGCGATTGTAAGTGATCAGGAAGGTGGACTTGCGTCACCGGCAGCAGCCGCCTGGATGAGTCATCGTAACATTAAGTTCGTCCCTAAGGCTCGCTACGCTCACGCAAATGTAGTTGAAAGACATCATGCGTTGTTACGGCATCAATTCCACTTACTGCGAGATCAAACCATGGCCGATGGCATAAAGGCGTCTTTTGAGGCAATTTTGTCTGAATGTGTGTACGTTAAAAATGCCATGATGCGAATTGGAAATGCAAGTCCTTACGAAGCGGTAATTGGACGAGTCCCACACTTATTTGACGTAGTTGATGCTGAAAGTGGACCTGACATCGAAGCAAAAGACGCTGATCGCCTGAGGGCAAAGAGCATTCAGGCGATGGTTCAGGCAACTGCCGCTGCCAAATTAGAGCGGGCCACTAAACATAAAACAAGAGTCACAGGCGAGCTTCTTGAACTGTCTGTCGGTGAACAGGTAGATTTTTGGAGGCAACCTGCCACAAAGGACCATAGCGGATGGTTAGGTCCAGCCACGGTCGTTGATGTGAGCACACTGACACAAGGTCACATCACCATCAGGTTCCAAGGCAAGGCGATGCTGTGTCGAGTGCAAGACTTGCGCCGCTCCTTAATGTACACTGTGCTGATGACCCATGAGCCTGTGTCCACGCCAGTAGGAGTGATTCGGCATGCCGCTGAGTCACTAGATAGGCAGGTCGTTCGGTTGGGTTGGTTCAGACAGCAAGGAGTGTGGCAAAGCTTCGAGAACAATGCTCGTCTTCCTGTTGAGGTCATCGCTGGACTCCACATGGCCGCTTGCAACCTGCAGTTTAATGGGGTAATCTCATTCAGGTTGGGGAACTCTGTACCAACTCTGGCAGGTGTAGAGTGTGATGAGTCTTTGTTGCTCATGTGGGACAAGGGCCATCTGGATGCGTGGTCAGTAGCGTACATTCCTGGGTCCTGTTCTGTAAACTTTGAACGCATGCTTGGCCGAAAGTGCAACGACGTGGCATTCGTACAATTCTTTGCTGTAGATGCTGAAACTGTGTTGTCGCTGAGACAACATGTCCAAGACATCCCAAACATCGGTGGAATAAGCGATCCGCAGCTTCCGCGAGTGCAAGACATCACCTCAGCGGTAATGCAAAACCGGCGTCAGCGTGCAATTGAAAATGCGAGGGCCACCGATCAGGTTGGGCCTGAGGAGTTCGACATTGGAACGCCTCGTGAGTCGCACAGTGATGCCACAGTCCAATCTGCGTCTGAGTCATCCGACACTTTCGAGCCAACTGCTGATGAGGATGAGTGGTATCAGTTTTTGACAAGACCGCCAGAGGTGTGTCGTCATAACGTCGGTTCAAACATTTACATATTCAACGTAAGCGAACTTCTTGATGAGCCTTTGCAGATAGAGTTCACCAGCCAAGCAGCAAAGTATTTGGTGTGTTTTCGTGACAGCGTGAAAGAGGACGAGACGGTATCGATGAACTTTGAAGCACCGTTGAATCCTGTTATTGAGCGTGCCAACAACATTTTGACTAGACAAGAAGCCTTGGAAAACGTGGAGCGCTGTAGAAAAGCAATGATAAAAGAATTGCTGCGGTGGAACACGCATCGCGCGTGGCGCAGAGGGCCTCGTGCTACTGCGACTAATGCGTTGTCTTCTAAATGGGTTCTCAAGTGGAAAATGATAGAGGGAACACGCGAAATTAAAGCCCGACTTGTCGTGCAAGGTTTTAAGGATGTACAAGCTGTGCAAAACTTTGCCGGTACAACGTCTAGATGGGGGCAACGGTTGGTGTTAATAACTTCGGTACAATTTGGTTGGGGATTGACATCGGCAGATGTTGCCGAAGCCTTTTTAAGGGGCCTTACATTTCGTGAGCTTTTCGAAAATGGTGAGGACGCTGTGCTTCGAGATGTACAATTGATCCTGCCGCCAGGTTCTGCTGAGCTTATTCAAGCCATCCCCGGCCTCGAAAGCTTCAACTGTGATCGTGAGGTTTTGTATTTACTCAAGCCAGGTTTCGGACTCAAGGATGCGCCGCGTCTGTGGGCGTTGGCTTTGAAGCGTGTGTTGGCGCAACTGGAGTTGCGTCCTCTGCAAGCCGACGCACAGCTGTTTGCCAAGCATTCAAATGGAAAATTACTTGCCTTGTTATCGATACATGTAGACGATCTCAAGATCACAGGAAACGACAGCGAGCGTGCCGCCATAATTCGTGGTTTAGAAAAGGAATTTGACCAACTAAAGGTAGAAAATGACTGTTTTGAGCACTTGGGGTTAAAGCACTCACTTGAGTCAGATGGCACCCGGGTGCTGAGCCAACAGCACTATATCGCCGAACTTAGACCAATACCCGATGCCGATTTGAAACTAATGCAGCCTGAAGCAGAAGTATCACCGGAAATTGCACGACTTTATATGTCCCTCCTAGGTGGAGTTGCATGGACCACGCAAACTAGACCTGATGTGGCAGTGTTTGTATCCGCGCTACAAAGAAGGCTAAAGGCACCACGTGTACAGGATGTTGCCAATCTAAACAGGGTCTTAAAGTATTTGAAATTAAAACCCCTATGCCTGAGGTATAAGAAGGTTCCCAGACCTTGGAGGTTGGTGGTAGTCACTGACAGTAGCTTCAAAGGAGAGGGCCAAGAACACCTTGCAGTCCGATCCGGCGTGATAGCGCTTGTGGACCGTGATGGTCCCTTCACTGGAACGAATTCCATACAGTTGCTAGATTTTGTATCCAAGAAGCAGAGCCGCGTGTGTCGCAGCACATATGCTGCTGAGCTTTTGAGTGCCTTGGATATTGCAGGTGCAGCTATGCAGATAAACTCTGCTATGTCTGAGCTGCTGCAAGGTTGCATGAGTGCCAGTCAACTGCTATCCAAACAAGAGTCCATGACCCACGCTTTGCAGCTGGATGTTATTCTGGATGCTTTCAGCGTTTGGACAAGTGCTTGTGCCGAGGATGTCAAGTGTACCGACGGAGCAATGATGTTGCATCTCTTGGCGTTTAGGGAGCTCTTAGGTAGGGGTATTAGTCGCTTAATTTGGGTTGACACCAGAGATATGCTTGCAGATGCGCTCAACAAAGGAGCGATCGACAGATCCGCAATCCGTACTGCCTGTGCGGACGCAGTGTGGCATATTTCCCAAGAAATCAAAATCCATGTGTGCAAGACACGTGTAACAGCTCAGAGAAGTGACAATGCAGACCGCGGAGCAAAGCTCTAGCACATACAGCCCGAGTCAAGATTTAACAGCTCTACTTGGCAGGTGCAGCACATCTTGTGCGACCTCAGCCTCGAGGTTCAGAGAACTTGCAGTGACATTTGAACTAATTAGGCCCATTGGGTTGTTTCTAACGAGTGGATCACACAGAGTCCCTCTTGACAGACTGTTCATACTTGAGCCCTTTGTACGAATTCATTGAAGGCACATAGCAGTGACGTATCATACTCCACCTTTCGGCAATGGCGCTGAGAAAAGGGTCCGATGCATTCAATCGACCAATTCAATTGGGGAGAAGTTCAGAGCATCAAGTTGGAGCAGCAGGCAGGACTCCGCATTCCAACTCACGGACCCTAAGAGCTAAACCCTAAAGCCTAAAGCCTAAAGCCTAAGAAACCCTAAACCCTAAATTCTTTAGGCTTGAGGACTGAGGGTTTTTTTAGGGCTGCCGGGCCACTGTTTGTGGTGTAGCGTTTTGGAGGTCGTGTTCTTCCGAAAGATCACACAAAAACCGGGGAGCAGGGTTTCGGGCTTGGGGGTTTAGGGTTTACGGCTTAGGGCTCAGGGTTCAGGGTTTTGGGTGCCTTCGCAGCTTGTGGGCGTCGAGGACTTGGGGTGGAGGGGGTTTAGGGGACCAATTCCTACACTTTGCTTAAGAACCCCAAAAGAATAACATAATTATGAACCTACTATTTTCCTTAAGCAGGAAGAATATTTGTGTTTTTTTGGGTTCTTAAGCAATTCGTAGATTCCTGTACATGGGTGTTCCACCACACCCTGCAAGTGGCGATGGAGACCTGCACCCACTGAAGAGGCCACCCCTCACCGGAAACCCCCCCGAAAACCCCTGCAAGCCCCTAAAACCCCTAAAGCCCTAGACCCTAAACCCTAAACCCTAAACCCCTAAACCCTGAAAAGCCCCTAAACACCGAAACCCGAAAAAGGCCCTTAAAACCCCCCGAAAAGCCCCCCGCCTTATGTTTTTTTGCTCTCTGCCATCTGCACATTTAGGCTGAGCCAGCGCATCGAGAACTTCCGCAAGGCCTCGGATGGAGGCACAACGGGGGGGTTTAGGGTTTAGGGTTTAGGGTTTAGGGTTTAGGGTTTAGGGTTTGAAGCACAACAGTCGAAGTCGCAGGTGTTGTTCTTGGCAGGGGCGTAGCATTTTAAGGGTTCAGGGGTTGAAGGGTTTTGGGGTGTTGGGGACTTTAGGTTGCTTCCGTTGGTAGGGGCATAGTTTGGGCTTTAAGGGTTTAGGGGTTTAAGGGTTTTGGGGTGTAAGGTTTTGGGGTTTTAGGGGTCTTGGTGGTAGGGCTTTAAGGGTTTCAGAGTTTAAGGGTATAGGGTTTTAGGGGTTTTGCCAACAGGGGGTCGAATCGAAGTCGCAGGTGTCGTTCTTGGTTTTTTGTTTATGGGTTTAGGGTATATCGGGGTGTGAATCAAGGGTTTAGGGGTTTCGGGGTTTAGGGTTTCAGGGGAATAAGGTTTTAGGGTTCGAGGGGTTTCGGGCTTCAGGGTTTCGAAGTCGCGAGGTTCGGAGAAGTCATCCCCGCCCTCCAATGCTGAACCTTAGGGGTGGGTGTTAGCGCGGGTTGGGGCGGGTTTGAGGGTGCTCAAAGTAGCTGAGCGAGTGCCTCTACACTTTTTGGGCTACTAGAATCCCCAAAAAGAACTGAATGTGTACACTTTTGGGGGGCGGCTTGTGAACTCAGCAACTAAGTGTTTGTTGTTGGTTTTGGGCTTAAGCAGGCAGAGGGCATGGGGCATGTTCGGGATGGTGGGGTCTTTGGGTGTCCCAATACTTTAGTATGCCTTGGGATGTTCCCCCTTTTTCCAAAACAGTCCTTAGTAGGGATTACAATGGGGCAGAATGACATGTCATGGATTTGGGGCTCGAGCCTTTCGAAGGCCTAAATACCCCTTCAGCGTCGCCCACTCAACCCTACACCCCTTCACCCCTTCACCCCTTCACCCCTTCACCCCTTCACCCCTTCACCCCTTCACCCCTTCACCCCTTCACCCCTTCACCCCTTCACCCCTTCACCCCTTCACCCCTTCACCCCTTCACCCCCCCAGACCCTAAACCCTAAACCCTAAACCCTAAACCCTAAACCCCCCCGTGCGAGGCATTCTCAAGGTCATGAGCAAGATGGGCATCTCTTGTCTTCAGAGTTGCTCGGAGCTAGCCATGCCACTTCAGGGAGACCTTAGGGGGGTCTATTAGGGTTTAGGGTTTAGGGTTTAGGGTTTAGGGTTTAGGGTCTATTGGGGTTCTCAGGGGTTCATATAGGGGTCATGAGGAGGGGGATTATGAGGGGCATTCGGGAGTTGAGGGGGGTTCTTAGGGTTCATTAGGTCATTAGGGGTGTTTGGGGGTTATGAAGAGTATTAGGCTTGTCGGTAGTTTTTTGTTTTTTTTTTGAGGGTTCGGGCTTGATGGTGCTTTGAGTCCTTTTGAATTGGAAGTGGGCCGCGGCGCCGAAGAGAGATTGTGCACGTGCCCAAAGGGTCTCCGGCCATTGCGGACATGAGGAAGTTCACGCAGGAAGACTTGAGTTGGCAAGGGAACCTGGAGCCCAGTTGCCAAATGGCTTTGAGATTCCTGCAAGAGGTGGCGTTCTTCAATTCCCATGACAACCTCATACAGGCCAAAGCTGCCTCCGCTGGGCCAATGGCAGCAGATGCCCTGCACACCCTAAACTCCCAGAGCCCCGAAATCCCTAGACCCCTCAGCGTCCAACGCCTGCACCCTGCCATAGGGGTCGGAATCAGTGTTCATCGTATCGCCTTATCATACCTGCATAAACATACAGGCCCCTCTACAGCACACGCCAAACCCCCCAAAGCCCTAAACCCTATGCCCTAAACCCTAAACCCTAAACCCTAAACGCTAAACCCTAAACCCTAAACCCACCAGTCTCAGGTCGGAACCAGGGCCCCTTGGTGTGGTCCCTTTACCCTTGTTTGCAGGGGATCCGAAATGAAGGGGCCTTATGAAATAGTGCATAATACAAGGGTTATATAACAAGGGGCCCGAATCAAGGGCCCATACTTCGGACCCCCTTCCCCTGCCCAAGCAAACAGGGGGCAATGCTTTTTGCAGGTTTCGTGGCTGCCGTGTGCGGGCGACTGCGGATGGTTTTTTTTTTGTGCGGGGCATTCCTGGGTCAAAGGTTCCTGGGTCTAAGGTTTAGGATTTAGGGTTCGGCGTTTAGGGTTTAGGGTGAGGATCAAGCACGTTCGACCCCCTGCCGGAGGTGTAGAATTCCACTATTTTGGTCCCGTCGCCGTACCTCAATGAGCCCAATTGCCGGCCATCAATCGCAACTATGCTTCCCAATCTTCCGGCTAAGGATCCAGGCGTCGGGACACACTGCTTGCATAAACCCTAAACCTCCTAAACCTCCTAAACCTCCTGAACCTCCTAAACCTCCTAAACCTCCTAAACCTCCTAAACCTCCTAAACCCTAAACCTCCTAAAACCTCCTAAACCCTAAACCCTAAACCCTAAACCCTAAACCCTAAACCTCCCAAACCCTACACCTCCTCAACCTCCTTAACCTCCTTCCTCCTAAACCTCCTTAATCCGAAGCACTAAACCACGTAAGCCCTAAACCCTAAACCCTAAACCCTAAACCCTAAACCCTAAACCAAAAACCCTAATAAACCCTAAACCCTAACCCTAAACCCTAAGCCCCGAACCAGCAGTCCCCAAGCCAGGCTACAAGGGAGCCCAACTCTTCCAGGCGGTTGGTATGGACAAGGCGGGTTTAGGGTTTAGGGTTTGGGGTTTGGGGTTTGGGGTTTGGGGTTTGGGGTTTGGGTTTAGGGCTTTAGGGGTTTAGGGGTTTAGGGGTTTAGGGGTTTAGGGGTTTAGGGGTTGGTATGGACAAGGCGGGCCGGGGTTTAGGGTTCTTAGGGTTCAGGGTTTTGGCTGTTGACGGGTTTAGGTGTAGGGTTTTGGGTCTAGTCTAGGGCGGGGTTTAAGGGGTGTTTATGGGGTTTTGGGGTTTAAGGGGTCTGAGGCGTTCTGGGGCTTTACGGTGCTTTAGGGTTTTCGGGGGTTTAGGTGTTTTAGGGGTTTAAGTGACTTTAGGAGTTTAGGGGTTTTAGGGATTTTGGGGTTTTTTGGGTTTTAGGGGTTTTAGCCCTAAACCCTAAATGATAAACCCTCAACCCTACATCCTAAACCCTAGACCCGAAAATCCTGGTGAGGAAGTCATCGCCAAGTGCTTCACTGGCTGCAAGTTCGTCCTCAACGGGGCAGGCCCTCTCCTTTGTCTCCTAGGGCTTGCTGGGGCTTTCGGCACTCTGAACCCGGGTTTAGGATTTAGGCTTTAGGGTTTAGGGCCTACAATCCGAAAGTAAAGAGCTCAGAGCTTACAGGGCTTGCGGTTTGTAGATTGGAGTATCGCCAAAGTATCAGGAAGACCTCAGGGCTTCGGGCTTTGGTGGCGTTTGGGGTTCGGTTGGCAGAGAACCTAAACTCCAAACCCTAAACCCTAACCCCCCCCCCCCCCCCCCAATACAACCAAATAAGAATCGACACCAAAGAAGAACCTAAACCCTAAACCCCAAACCCTAAAACCTAAACCCTAAACCCTAATCCTGCAGCAGGCTTTAACATCTTTGAGATGGATGCGATGGAGTTGCATAAGATGGCCTTCCCCGACAGGCGCGTCGAGGTTAGGCTACAGGTTCCTCGGGCTTCTGTTAATCAAGGATGAGGAGTTCAGGGTTTAGGGTTTAGGGTTTAGGGTTTAGGGCTGTTCCTTACATCAATACCCCCCTTGAACCCCCGTCCCTTAAGGACCCTATAATCGCTCAGACCTTAACACTTGTAGTTCTGGCAGCCAGAGAATGAAGGGAGGGGAGGGTTTGGAGTAGGCTTGGGGCCTCAGAGGTAAAAAAAAGAAATGTTGAGGGGGTTCGGTGCCGGTTTTTCGTGTTTGTGTTGGGTTCCCAAACCCTAAACCCCAAACCCTAAACCCCAAACCCTAAGCCCCAAACCTAGGGTTTTGGGGCGGGGGTGGGGGGGAGGGGGGGGACATATTTTGTGTATTGACCCATAGAGAAGGGTTTTGTGGGTTTAGGGCTTTGGGTTCAGGGCTCAGGCCTCAGGGCTTAGGTTTAGGGTTTAGGGTTTAGGGTTTAGGGTTCCCCCCCCAAAAAAAAACCAAAGTCCTTACGTCCAGGCCACAGCCGCCCTTGGTCGACAATGAGGTCGAGGAGCTGGAGGCTGGGGAGGGGTTTGGGGTTTGGGGTTTAGGGTTTGGGGTTTAGGGTTTAGGGTTTAGGGTTTAGGGATTCGATTCGGAGGCTTCGGAGGCTTCGGGCGTTTAGGTACCCCTGAGGCGGAACTTGGGGACCTCAGCCGAAAAAGGGGGGATAGTTTGGGATGTACCCTCTTAAACAGTCCTTAATGGGGATCGTAGTACCCCCTATTATAATCCTATTCCCTAAACCCTAAATCCTAAACCCTAAACCCTAAACCCTAAACCCTAAACCCTACAGTGCTGTGAGTATAAGGGGGAACATCCCAAGGGAGAGTTCCCTGAGGTTTGTTGGGGCCGCGGGAGGCCTTGCCAGGCATTTTGCTTGTTAGGGTTTAGGGTTTAGGGTTTAGGGTTTAGGGTTTAGGGTTTAGGGTTCAGGGTTTAGGGTTTAGGGTTTAGGGTTTAGGGTTTAGGGAGAGAGAGGAGCCGAAAGGCACGTGGGACGTCCCGAAATTTTCGTTGCGGGCTCGTGGCTTATAGCGATTTGGAAGCCACGCAATTTTTTTTTTTTTTTTTGGGGGGGGGGTGGGGGGGGGGGGTCCGGGTTTGGTGGTTTAGGTTGAGAAACCTGGGCTTCTTGATAAAGCCGCATGATGCCGTTACCACCCACACGGCATTGAGCTGTGACTCCTCATGCTCAGATTCTATGCGAGTTTTTGGGGGGGGGGGGGGGGGGTGTAGGCTTTCTCATGTTGTTCGTCTAGGGTTTTTGAGTTCTGAGTGTTTGTGGTAGGGCTTGCAGGATTTTAGGGGTTTAGGGTTTTCAATGATGTATGGGCTCGGTGACGCCGATGTTCATTGTCATAGTGGCCGTACTTGGCATACCAAAAAACGCCTCAGGGCTCTGAACCCCAAACTTAAAGCCACATACAAACAGTGTTCCCGACCTTGTGGTGCCATGTCGCATCATGTGAGTTCGAACCATGCCACTAACAAAAAGCAAATCTTGATCTCGAGTTATGAGCCCTAGCCAGGATTTCGGCGAGTATCACTTCCGCAGCATCCACGAGACCGAGATCCACATGAACACCCCCGACGTCATTTACAAGATGCAGGCACGCAAAGAGAGCGAGTGCTGGCGTGTGTGCAAACTTGAATCTCTTCAGCTTCACAGAACAGCCTTCGTGAAACCTAACTCCATAAATGCGAAATACCCTCCCGCCCCCCAAAGTGTCGATACACTAAGACCGAGTAAGCCAAGTTAGCACTTTTGCCATTCTTAAACCCTAAACCCTAAACCCTAAACCCTAAACCCTAGGCCCTAAACCCTAAACCCTAAACCCTAAACCCTAAACCCTAAACCCTAAACCCTAAACCCTAAACCCTAAACCCTAAACCCTAAACCCTAAACCGCTTCAGGAGGCAGCCCGCTCCAACTCCGGAGAGGCCTCTTAGTCTTGTGAAGGGGGACATTCTCTGGGTTTTTTTTTTGGGGGGGGGGGGGGGTTACCCTAACCCTAAACCTAAACCTTAAACCCTAAACCCTAAACCCTAAACCCTAGGGGGGGGGGGGTTTGGGATGTTCCCCCTTTATACTGACAGTCCTACTAAATAGGGATCATCATCGGTTTGTTTTTTTTATGTCCCGAAGAAGGACGAAGGACTGTGAGTATACCAAGGGGGCGGGGAGTGGGTTCTGAAAAGGGGAGGGGCTCTTAAAAAGGGTTAGGGGCTCGTTTAGGGGGCTTTAGGGCTTCGCGATTTAGGGTTGAAGGGTTTCGGGGGTTGAGGGGTTGAAGGGTTGAGGGTTTAGTAAAGTTTAGAGTTTAGGGTTTAGGGTAAGAAGGGGATCTAGCGGGGCTTAACCGGGCTGTAGGGAGGTTCCAAGGGCGCACTTCTCAAGAGCAAGAAGTAAGACGATGCGACTCATGCATTGAGGGGATTCGAATCTGCAGAAGAACTTGGGAGAACCCCTGAAGGGTTTAGGGATTAGGGTTTAGGGTTAGGGTTTAGGGTTTAGGGTTTAGGGTTTGGGGTTTAGAGTTTAGGGTTTAGGGTTTAGGGCTTGGGGTTTCCCAGCATGAGATGAGGCCTACAAGATGTTCTCCACCTGGCAAAACAAGATCACGGAGCAGACGGAGCCGTTGCTCTGGGCCGGGTTGCGGGGGCTGATAGGCTTGGTAGCCCAGTGGCAGGTTTTAGGGTTTAGGGTTTAGGGTTTAGGGTTTATGGTTTCCCCTTATACAATAGCCAGCCCCCCCCCCCCCCCCCCGCCCCCAAAAGCAAAAGGGTGCCCTTTTCATAATATGGTTACTGGGCTACCATGTAGGGGTTTGCTTTTCGCTTTGCTGGTTGCCAGCTTGTTTTCAATAAACAGGGGTGGTGTTTCAGCACGATGGCTAAGTTATTTACTACCATTCCCCCCAAACAATCCAATGCCCTAAGCCCTAAACATTTGCCGACATTCCGGAATTCCTACACCCTGAACCCTAAATCCTAAACCCTAAACCCTAAACCCTCAACCCTCAATCCTCAACCCTCAACCCTCAACCCTCAACCCTCAACCCTAAGCCCTAAGCCCTAAGCCCTAAACCCTAAACCCTAAACCCTAAACCCTAAACCCAACCCACACGAAGCCCTGAGCCCCGCTCCGTGTCCCAGGAGATCCGCGGGCAGCTCGAGTTCCTGTCCGAGGAATGTGATCCCATCGACATCTCCGAGGTGGCTGAAGGGCTTAAGAAGGTTTAGGGTTCAGGGCTTTAGGGTTTAGGGTTTTGGGGTTTGGGGTTTAGGGTTTAGGGTTTTAGGGTTTAGGGTTTGGGGTTCAGGGTTTCGCGTGCAGGTTTCTCGGTTGGGGGTTTGGGATTTTGGGATTTTTGGGGCTTCGGGCAGCCGTGTTGCAGTGTAATAGGGTGGAGGGCTTGGGGTTTCAAGACCATCTCTGTCTAAACCCTAAACCTTGAGCCCCATCAAAGACATGAAGACTGGCCAATAGGCCCGTCCATACGCAGGCCATCCACTGTCTGTGGAGAAGCGGAGGCGAAACCCAAGACACTAAGCTCCCAAACCCCCTCACCCCCCTAACCCCCCTTAACCCCCCCCCCCCCCCTAACCCCGAAACCCCCAAGGCCCTAAAAGCCTTGAATCCCAGAAGGCAAGGACCGGCCCGGCCCCGAAAGCCCACGCCATCGGGAGTAGCAAGCTCGCTTGATGGGGGCCGGGCCCCAAACCTCAAGCCCCAAACCCAAGGGTTTGAAAAGTTTGGGGTTTAGGGATTTAGGGGATTAGGGGTTTAGGGATTGAGGGGTTTAGGGGTTTAGGGGCTTAGGGGTTTAGGGGTTTTGGGGTTTGGGGGGTTTGGGGGTTTGCGGGTTTGGGGGTTTAGGGGTTTAGGGGTTGTAGAGGGTTTAGAGGGTTTAGAGGGTTTAGAGGGTTTAGGGGGTTTAGAGGGTTTAGAGGGTTTAGAGGGTTTAGGGGGTTTAGAGGGTTTAGAGGGTTTAGGGGGTTTAGAGGGTTTAGAGGGTTTAGAGGGTTTAGAGGGTTTAGAGGGTGTAGCGGGTTTAGAGGGTTTAGGGGGTTTAGGGGGTTTTCAAAAGTCAGTCCCCAAAGAGGTGGAGCCCGCTGTGGAGATTGCAGGGAGCTCAGCGTCAGCGGAGAAGTCTGAAGGAGGAGTTCAGCTTGGATAGGGTTTAGGGTTTGGGGTTTGGGGTTTAGGGTTTAGGGTTTAGGGTTGAGGGTTGAGGGTTGAGGGTTTAGGGGTTAGGGTTTAGAGGTTAGGGGTTAGGGTTTAGGGTTTAGGGTAAGTCTGAAGGAGGAGTTCAACTTGGATAGGGTTGGCAGGTCTGGGGTTGGGATGGTTTGGGCTTCATAGGGCTTCATGGGGTTTAGGTTCAGGATCTAGGGTTTTGGGGAGGGGGGGGGGGTTAGGGTTTTGGGTTTGGGGTTTTGGAGGTTTAAGCAGCTTTGACAATCCTAAACCCCAAAAGCCTGCACCTGAACAGGCCCTAAACCCTAAGCCCTAAGCCCTAAGCCCTAAACCCTAAACCCTAAACCCTAAACCCTAAACCCTAAACCCTTAATCTAAACCCTAAACCCTAAACCCTAAACCCTAATCCCTAACCCTTAACCCTTAAACCTAAGCCCTAAACCCTAAACCTTAAGAGACCCTCAGGTCAAGCGTTTCTGCACCGGCGCAGCCTCCTTCGGGTCCATCTCCGACGAGGTGCCTGAGCACTTTGGGTGAGGGTTTAGGGTTTAGGGTTTAGGGTTTAGGGTTTAGGGTTTAGGGTTGAGGGCTGAGGGCTGAGGGCTTAGGGCTTAGGGCTTAGGGTCTAGGGTCTAGGGTCTAGGGTTTAGGCTTAGCGGGGGCGTGCAGGTTTTAGGGAGCTTCGGGTGTAAGCTGGTAAAAGAGCCTCAGTGGGGTCTGTTTGAGGGTTAAACTTGTTGTGTGTTTTGGGGTTGTTGAAGGCAGGCCTGGGGCTTCAGGGTTTGGGAAGTTTGGGGTTTGTTTGTTTCCTTTTCCGGATCGAGAATTTATCGGTTTTGGGGTTGAGCGTTCGGGTTTAGGGTTTGGGGCTGGCTTGCTTTGTCTGAGTTGAGGGAAAAGGGGAGCGGGATGGCATGCTTGGGGTAAAGAGTTTCGGAGCTCAGGGTCTGGGCTGTATGCCGCTGTTCCCTTGTAGCCTTTGGTGTTCCTGCCAGTAAAGGGACCGAAGCCTCCAAAAAGGGACAAAAACACAAAACGTCTACATCCCGAAGCCCTTCAACCCCAAACCCTCCATTGATTCGCTCAACACGAAATGAAGTGCTACCAGTCGTATACTGTATAGTCTACAATACTCATGTATTTTCGGTGTACATACATAATCTTGCCCGGTATTTTGAACCCTACAATGGTTGGGAAGCCTCAGGCCAACCCGTCTCGAAGAGCCCCTTCCAACCTCCCAAAGCTCCCTGAACCCCCCCCCTTTTAGCAGATGCTCTGCATATTTTTCCTAATGTAGTGTGATCTATACAATCTATATGTTTTCATATATATATATAATATATATATATATACATACATATTTAATGCACCTTGCCTTCCATGGACAATGTAAAAATAGGGCAGCGAAGTACACCTAAACCCGCAGCCCTATAAGCCCTGAACCCCAAAACGCTAAACCCACCTTGTCTAGTCTGAAGGCCCACCGTGCTATGGCCATTGCCATGAACCGCATCGGGGGCAAGAGCAACACCGGTGAGGGCGGCGAGGAAGTCCGGGGTTGGCTCAGTCATGTGGCAGGGTTTAGGGTTTAGGGTTTAGGGTTTAGGGTTTGGGGTTTAGGGTTTAGGGTTTAGGGCAACTCTAAGTCTGACTTAGAGGCGAGTCTCTGAGCCTTCCACCGCAACACACGCAGGCAATCAACCCATAATCAACCAGCCACGCTGCATGACTTCATTCGCAGCGTGGATTTCGGTTCACGTCCCTATCCGGCCCATGTGCGTCATACCGCGTTCCATGTTTTCCCTACCTCACCATGCGATACCTCAGGAAACCCTCCAGCTATGGCTCCGCCATCCAAGAGCAGTTTCCTTGTGTTTGTTTTGTAGGTTTAGGGAAGTTGAAGGTTTAGAGTCTTCACGAAACCCCCCCCCCCCAGCTGCGGAGTCCTACGGAGCAAGCGGTAGCATGATGTTGCCACCTGTTACGAAGCGCTGTGGCAGCCAAAGTGGCTTGAGCTTTCTCCGCCGTCTGAGTGGAGGCTTCAGCCATCGTTGCCAGACACTAGGCGGTAATGGTGGCACCACTGGACCTGCAAGGCCGGCGGCAAGAGGATCTGCATGCTGGTCTTGCGCCTCTTCTGGCGGTGGCCCTGCGCTTCTTGCCCTGGGCTGCAGGGCAGCGCGTGCCAGGCGTCCGGCTCGTGACTTCGCGAGTGCTGTTGTGCTGAACGCAACACTAGATTCACGAGATCGTGTACCCATCCTCTACCTCTCGGATCCCTGCTCCTGGACCCAGCTTGCCGAGCGAAGGGACGGCTGGATGTGTGGGGACCAGGAGTGCTTAGTGGAAGAGGAAGATGGGAAGCATGCCGACATGGCCGATGCACCTGCAGCTGCAAGAGAGGTTGCCGAGGCCATGAGAGAAGCTGCACCTGATCTTCAAAACATCCCAGTTTGCCTTTCTAGTGAAAGCAGCGACGGTGGTGAGATCATGGTAATAGGCCATCCTGGTCCCGATCCAAAGACGGCCTGCCTCAAGGTATTAGGCATCCGCAAGCATTGCGAGGACGTGTTGGCAGATCCAGAGCTGGTCGACGTGTGGGCGACGGCGCGTGTGGAGACGTTAGATGTCAGGGGCAAACTCAAGAAGGGTTTCAATGATCATGAGGAGGAGGAGGAGGGGGAGGAGGAGGACGTGGAGGAGGCAGGCAACATGAGGCAGATTCTAGCGCTTACAAAGATCATGAATGATAAGCTCCAAAAGCATTTCGTGTTCGACTTCAGCGAGGAGATTGTCACGGCTCCCGTGATCTATGGCGGATATGCCAGTGATGGCTCCATAGTGGGCGTGCTTTCGTCCCGTGTGTGGACATGATGCAGGCACTTTGGCTTGATGCAGGCTCTTAGGCTTGATGATGTGTTCGGATTTGGGTAACCCATTGCTACTGTGCGGCTCCGAAAAGGCATGTCCAGCCAGCAAATCAGCGAATGCCCATGTACAACCTTGAGAAAGTGTTGGGAAAGTTTCGCAACATCCTGCATGTTGCAATGATATGGGGTCTGAAAACTCAGTATTACTGTTCCTGCGGGACGTGCCCGAATAGGGCTCTACAGTCCAATCAGTAACAGGAACAGGATTTCCATTCCCTACTTATAGCCCCTTTATAGTGCAATGTTGTGTCATGAAACCCAAAACCCTTCTAGCTATTAAGGCCCCCTACACTAAACACTCATAGCGACCCTTATAGCCATTCACAAAGGAACCCCTCACAGGAGCCCTCTTCCATTTCTCAAGCCCAGTAACCCATTGTCAAATTATAGGCTTAGGTTAAGGTCTTAGGGCTTTTAGGGTTTATGGTCGACTAAAAGGTCCAAGGGTTAGGTAGACCGGGCTGCTAGACAACGAGGCCTTTTGCAAACAGGGCACAAGGCTTTCAAGCATAGGGCCTATGGGCCTACATATTTTTCTCTGCAAAGGAGCGAAAACTGTTCATGTCACTGGAGCCCTGACTCAGATCAAACAAGACCCTAAACCTAAACCCCATATAAACCCAAAGCTCTTGTAAAACCCATTAAAAAACCCTTAGGCCCATATAAATTCTACAAGGGGTAAGGTTCCCTAAGCCCTAAGCCCTGAACCCTAAACCCCAAACCCTAGGCCTAAGCGTTCGGGGTTTAGGGTTTAGGGAGCCCTCTTGAACTCTTCGGTTCCCGCGTGAATTCGATTTCATTTCAAGGATACCTTGGGGTGCGGTCTTGAGGTTTTTGTTGGGGGTTTTGCGGCCTAGGATGGCTAGGGTTTCTCCGAGTTTGGGGTTTGAGGTTAGGGTTTAGGGTTTAGGGTTTAGGGTTTAGGGTTTAGGGTTTAGGGGGGGAGGGGTGGGGGATAGGGGTGGGGGTTGTTGGCATGTAGGAATTTAGGGTTTAGGGGTTTAGTGGGGTGGTCGGTTCGGTCACAGGGGCCAGGGTGATATTGCTGTATCGGAATGTTGGTATATCATTCTATTAGTTAAAGCAACCAAGTGCTTGTGAATTTTAGGCTCTGGGGGTCTTGCTTCGCGGCTTTGAGGGCTTCTTGAGGCTTCTTGGATTCAGGCTTTAGAGCTGGGGGCCTTTTTGCTTAAGGCCTGGTGCAACCCCTAGACCCGCCTCTCGCCTGTGGCTGACACCCCGAACCTGTCACTCCCCAAACGAAGTTTTCGAGCAACCCTGGTGAAAGTGTCCAACTCCGCGTTCAGTTCACCTGTCCGCAACACCCGGAGGTTTCGGGGTCAAGGCTTAGGGGGTATTTTGAGACAGCCCCGGCTCCACGACGGCTCAAGGCGGCGCCAAAGCTGGAGAAGGACGGAAGGCTGTGCCACTAAACCCTGAGCCCCTAATTAAACCCCAAACCGTAAACCCTAAACCCTAAACCCTAAACCCCAAACCCTAAACCCCAACCCCTAAACCCTAAACCCCAAACCCTAAACCCTAAACCCTAACCCCTAAACCCCTGACACCTGAAGCCCGCATTCTCCCGTTTAGGGCGCCCTTTTTGGTTTCGAAACGAAGCCGTGCGGCCCCCGCGCGCCATGGAGGATGGCGACATGCAGGCGGGGCCATGCCCTGCGGGCCCTAAACAACTTAGTAGCTGAGTGGGTTTAGGGTTTAGGGTTTAGGGTTTTGGGTTTTGGGTTTTGGGTTTTGGGTTTTGGGTTTTGGGTTTAGGGTTTAGGGTTTAGGGTTTAGGGCACTTTTACACTTTTTGAAATACTGTAATCCCCTATAGACCTGAAAGTGTAGACTTTTTGGGGGCTTATGAACTCAGCAACTAAGCTATATGAGCCTTAGAAGGGTTCCCTGAACCCTAAACCCTACACGCTAAACCCTACACCCTAAACCCTAAACCCTAAACCCTCACCCTAAATCTGTACCCTAAATCCTTATCCCTAAACCCTCAACCCTTATCCCTAAACCCTGAAAACTAAACCCTAAACCCTAGAATAGGGCCCTTCATGATTGAAGGCTAACCTTTCTTGGCCCAGTGTACTCAGCAACTATGGGGCTTACAGGCGTGTAGGGAGGGTCGGCAGGGCTGCTTTTGTTCTTGTAAAGGGATGATCGCAGAAGGAAGGGGGTGAGACGATGTCCCGAAAATTGCCGAGCCCCAAACCCTGAACCCCAATCCCCAGACCCTCAACCCGAATTGCTAGGCCCTAAGCCCTAAACCGGAATCCCCTCTACAACCTGAACCCTAAACCCTAAACCCTACACCCTACACCCTACACCCTAAACCCTAAACCCTAAACCCTACACCCTAAACCCTAAACCATAAACCCTAAGCAGGACTTCGTCGTTCACCACGTCGCGTCCCTGCAGCCGTTCTCGCCGGACATCATCCGGGCAGTGCGGGCGCGCGAGGCACTCCGGGGCCGCCTGGCGCATTTTTGGAGGTTAGGGTTTAGGGTTTAGGGTTTAGGGTTTAGGGGTTTAGGGTTTAGGGTTTAGGGTTTAGGGTTTAGGGTTTAGGGTTTAGGGTTTAGGGTTTAGGGTTTAGGGTTTAGGGTTTAGGGTTTAGTGATTCTGGACTTTTGGGGGGTTTGTAGGGTGTGAAATCGGGTTTATAGGGTACATAGGGTTTATGGGGGCCTCTGAGATTTTTCCCCCAGGCCTCGGAGTAAAATTGAAAGCTTCTGAGTCAACTATTCTTCTCGCCTCTTCGCCTGGTGTCCCGCCCGGTTTCCCGGCTGGCCACCGGCAGAGAAGTCTGCAGAGAGTCACGCCGAGTATCCCTGGAGCTCCCATTCCGGTGTCCAATCTTGCAGGCAACTGTGACAGAATCCTGCAGCGAAGTATCCTGAGTCACCTGTCCAAGAAAAGCCAGGATGGCTCCGACTTTTGAGTAGGACCGATGGAAGTAAATAGTTGGGGGTTTAAGGTTTTTAGGGTTCGTAGGGTTTCGGACGTTTGTAGGGTTCAGCATTCCCCTTAGCCCCCCCATCCCCCCCTGCACAACATGGAAAAGGCCAAAAACTGAAGGGGCATAACCCTAAACACTGAGCACTAAACCCTAAGGCCTAAGCCCTAAACCCTAAACCCTAAACCCTAAACCCTAAACCCTAAACCCTAAACCCTAAACCCGCTCGACCCTAAACCCAAGGATTCGCGCGCCCGTTGCGGGGCGGGCGCCGAGATCTCCACCACTTGAGCTACTCGACCTCCAGGATCTCTACCTTCTGGAGCCACAGTTGGCATGGAAACAAGTGGCTCAAGGTGGCGTGGTCCCTAGACCCTAAACCCTAAACCCTACACCCTAAACCCTACATCCTAACCCTACACCCTAGACCCGACACCCTACACCCTAGGTTTGGGGTTGAGGGTTGAGGGTTTGGGGTTCAGGGTTCAGGGTGGGGGCTGCTCTAAACCTTGTATACTCTATATGGGGATTTCCCAAAATGGGCGTACCCTTTTGGGGGGGTTCTTTTTCTTACGGATCATAGTATTTGGGGTATATTGCCCTATTCTGGAAGATACCCATATACCCTACAAACCCTATAAACTATGGACCC